CGAGGTCTGCAGAAGGACTGGCGAGAATGATGACCATCATCGTTGAGATATTTGGGGAGTTCGGACTGACGGTGTCAGAGAAGACGACGGAGACGCTCCTGATGCGCGCGAAGGACAAGACGACTACATCATCACAGCCCGCCCCGCTTCCGCCGCTGACCATCGAAGCCACGGGGCAGAAATACGCCCAAACGACCGAGTTCCGGTACCTCGGTGGCCTCGTCAACGAACATGGCGACCTCACCCGGGAGATCAACTACAGGAGCAGAGGAGTGTGGGCGTGCCTCAGGCGATATGGCCGGGAGCTCTTCGACAGACCGAAATCGCCATTCCGACCCAAGATCCGCCTGCTCCAGGTGGGGGCGATGAAGGCACTGCTGTACGGCTGCGTGACATGGTCACCACTCAGCGGCCACTGTCAGACGCTGCGGTCGATACACCACCGACTGCTCCATCGAGTTATCGGGTACGAGCGCATGAAAGACACCTACCGGCAGTTCTCTTACGCCCAGACGCTGAAGAGGGTCGAATGCCAGAGCGTTGAAGCCACGATCCGACAACGGCGCCTGCTATTCGCGGGAGCAATGGCAAGGCAGCCGGACGGGCGACTCCCGAAACGACTGGTGCTCGGCGAACTGGCGGGGGGGGAGAAGCGACGTAGTGCGGGACAGGAACAGAACTGGCCGAAGTGTGTGCTCGACGACCTGAAGGCATTCGGGGCTGACCACGGATCTACGAAAACCGATCCATGTTGTCTCGGAATCCCGGTACCGAAAGACACGGGACCGAAGTTAAAGTGGACGGAAGCCGCGAAGGTGGAGGAGGGAGTACCCTGGCATGCGGCGGTGCTAATGGGAGCTGACAGGTTCATGACCTCCTGGCACGAGAAGGAAGAAGAGGCCAGCCGACAACGGGAGCTCAAACGAAACCCCAAGCCAACAACCAATGGGGCGAAAGGCGGGCACAAGGACGAGACGGCGAAGGAAGAAAGCAAACGAGAATAGACGGACCGAGTGGCGCGATACGTGCCGGNAATGGGAGCTGACAGGTTCATGACCTCCTGGCACGAGAAGGAAGAAGAGGCCAGCCGACAACAGGCGCTCAAACGAAACCACAAGCCACCAACCAATGGGGCGGGAGGGGGGCAGGAGACGGACGANTACCCTGGCATGCGGCGGTGCTAATGGGAGCTGACAGGTTCATGACCTCCTGGCACGAGAAGGAAGAAGAGGCCAGCCGACAACGGGAGCTCAAACGAAACCCCAAGCCAACAACCAATGGGGCGAAAGGCGGGCACAAGGACGAGACGGCGAAGGAAGAAAGCAAACGAGAATAGACGGACCGAGTGGCGCGATACGTGCCGGATTGAATTTCTATTGGCCAAATCCCCCCACCCAACGCTGCACCATTTCACCAACCCTGCACTAGTGATGACGTACCATAACAATGTATCGCTGGTTGGTGGCCATGTTTGCGTGTTTGCTTGTCGTNGAGTGGCGCGATACGTGCCGGATTGAATTTCTATTGGCCAAATCCCCCCACCCAACGCTGCACCATTTCACCAACCCTGCACTAGTGATGACGTACCATAACAATGTATCGCTGGTTGGTGGCCATGTTTGCGTGTTTGCTTGTTCGTGAGTGGTCTCTCCAACGTGTGCCTTTTCCTGTCTCTTGTGTTTCTTGTTATTTCCGGCCTGGCCCCTTTTTGTCCTCGCTGTTTTTCATTTTGCTTTCTCTTTGCTTGATGTTTCCATTATTTTTCTTTTTTTCTCTGTTTATTGTATTTTTCCGAAGTGTCATTTTTATTATTGTTTTTCCACGAAGTCTGGAAGGTAACTCTCTGGCCAATAACAAAGGGACGACACCAGTCGCTTCCCTCTCCCCTCCAGAGTCCAAGTTCCCTTCCATGTCAACTGGCAGGTCCAAACAAAATGCCGTCTCAGTACACCGAGACCCCCCAATGGTACTCCATACCATTGGTATCCACCAACATCGACGTTTAGTGGGATGGCATTCTGTCCCCTTGCCCGTACCTTCGTGTATGCTAACCCTTCTTCTGCTCCATCTGCTTCCCCCTCGCTAGTTTACGGGATACCATGTCTACGTCCACCATATTATTCCTAGTATATATTTTGAACGTACCCGAGCCTTCCTTCCATCTACCCTCTCTCTGTATAATTCTGTCCGGTACGTCTCCTCCTGCTGCCAACGTGGTGGCGGCCCCGATCCTCAACGAATGCAGGCCAACCTGTTTCGGGTCGCCACCTGCCTTCTCCACAATCTGGCGAAGGGCGCTAAGAGCTTTGGAATATCCCCAAACCTTAATCGTCTTGCTTCTCCTACAGCGAAACGAACACAGAGGAGCGTCCTCAGGTAACGCGAGATGGCACGCCATCAACTCCACCAACACCGCCACGGCACCGCCACCGGCTCCAATCTGAGAACTCGCGCCTCGTGCTACTTCGCGCACTCGTGTAACGTACGCCCCCTTCTCCGACTGATCCCCCTTGTGACCGCGAAACCGAACCCGAACTCCTGTGGCCTTATGCCAATGCAACGGGGATAGCACGTCCTCCCCATGAAAGAATTCGACGTCGCTACGCCGCAAGCAATGCACCTGGTGGCATTGCCCCGACATGGTGGTAAAAACCTCATCCGAACGCGCCACCAGGAAGTACGACCACGCCAAACACAGCCACAGCACGCGGCCACCAGAACCCCACGACGCCGTCAACTGCTGTCCTTCCAACAGCGTCTCCCATGAAACGGGAACCCGACTCCGACTCTTTGTACCCGCGCGAACGTGAACACGTGCGACTCCCAACAAACTCCGCTTGATAAGAGGCGCACCGGCGGGCAACTCAAGCTGCTTGTCGATTCGATGAAAGTACTGCACCGCGGCGAGCTTGCCGGATATGGTTGGCGCAACATTACCCTTATCGGCACAACACCACGCCACAAACTCCAAAAGTGCTTGTTCCAGCTCAGCCTCATCCGCGTCCCTCGAGAGGTACTCCGACTCGCCAATCATGCGGCGAAAAGCACACCAAGCCCGCCAACCTGACAGGTAAGTTCTTCGAGACGACTGCGCAACTGACTCGCGGACGTACTCTCCGCTAAGACGCCGGTACAAAGATCGGCGACGACCGGGCTCAAGACCTCGGGTCAACGCAGTAGCCGCCCCTGGTCGTAGGAGGTGCGTGCTCGAGCCCGAGACCACGCCCCCCGCGACATCGAAAGACGGCCCTCCCCCCCCCAGGGGGCAGGGCCCGCGCCCCTATTCCTCATCATCGTCCTTGGCGCCGTCGGCGGCACCGCCCTTCGCACTGCTGCGAGTCTTGGCCCCGGCTGCTCCCACCTTGGCCCGCTTCGCTGGGGCGGTGGCGGCAGGAGCGTTGGTGTCCGCGCCGGCGGAAGAGCTACCTCTGGAGCCACCATCCGCGGCCCCGCCGCCAGGAACGCCCCCCCGTTTTCCTCCCTTTCCGCTGGCCTTCCGTGGCGCCACATGCACGAACTTGCAGGCTTTCCCCCACCGACATGTACCGTCTTTCTGGAACTGGTAGCACGGCCCCGGTTCCCTGGCCGTGCCGCCCTTCCCCCCGGCACCCGCGGCGGCGGCCGATGAACGGCCGGCCCTGCCTTGCACAGCAGAATTAATCAGCCCTCCCGACCGGAGATATGCCGCCAGGTTGTGGAAAGCCGGGAGGGGGGCGGGCGGGAGGGCGGCCGATGGCGGAGGGAGAACGAAGCGCCGCTGCATCTCGTCCGCGAACATCTGTACGTCGCGCGTGTACCTGTCCATATCCTTGACGATGAACGTCAAGAAGATGTCGCGGTTGTGCGGCATTTGAATGGCCGCGTAATTCTCCCGAGTGTGCCGCTCCACGTCGTCGATGACCGCCTGGAACGAGGCTTCGACACGATCCACCCGCGCTTTCACTGCCGCCGCCAACCTCGGGTCGTCGACGATCCCCCGGCGGGCGATGGTGATAAAGGCCCCCGCCATAAGGCTCAAATGCGTTGCGATGGGGATCCGTTCCCCACCCGCCCCCCGGGGCGCGAAGGCAACAGGGTCAAAGCCACGAAAGTTCAACAGCATGTCGGCCACCGCGTCCGTGACTTCAAAACTATCATGCATTAACCCTTGCAAGCTCGGCTTCTCTAACTTCGGCGGAAAACATCCCATCACCACCCACCACATGCGGCTGTTCACCGCGCTCCAAGCGTTCACCCGCTGGTCCGAAAGCACCTTTTCCATCCGCCGCTGGGAGTGCGACATCCCCGTTCCCATCCCGTATCCCCCGGAGTCGACGTTAAGGCCTCCCTCTCCAAACGGGAACGCGGGAGTGAAGCCTAAGCCGCCCCCACTGCCATACCGACCAGCGCCCTGAAGCAACCCAGGACTCGACTCCACGCGGTGGAGCCCGTAACCCGCGTTCGCGCCCCCATACATGGGCGCCGGCGCCACACCGGTAGCTGCACACGCGCCCCCATACCCGGGCGTAGGGGCAGCTCCGGCAGCGCCACCAGCGTACATGGACGCTGGCGCCACGCCGGCCGCCGCACTTGCGCCCCCATATCCAAGCACTGGTGCAGCTCCGGCAGCGCCACCCGCGGCGGCCCCGCCGTCCCGATCACGCACGGCTGCCAGCACCTCCGCGAACCGCACACCCATCTCGGCCTTCAGGTCCTCCACCGAGGCGCAGATGACGGCTCGCTCGTTAGCGCTGTCCTGCTGCAACGCCTCAAACTCGTCGCGGCCGATCATGGACTCGTCGGAGGAGTGCTCGTCCCCGCTCATCTCTCCGCCCCCGACCGGCTTGCCGCCGATGCCCGATCAATTTCCTGATCACGATGAACAAGGGGAACAATATACATCGGGAACTTAAGAGAGTGATGCGTATGCCAACCATATCCCAGCCGCACCAGCGACCTACACGCTACGCCTGACCACCACGTCTCATCACCAGATGACCGTATCGGAAGGCTCTAGCGTGACCATTGGTATATGCAGCGTGGTACCATTACCACCTGTATATACCGAGTCGTGTCTCTTATTTTCTCGACCGATTCGTCCGTGTCAACGAACACCGCAGTCATACGTGCAAATCGGTTGAGTAACATTCAGTATGCGAATGTACACCACGACCGCACACAGTATTCCAGCCGCACCAGCGACTCCTGACCACCACGTCTCATCTCTCATATGATCCGTACCCTGGTCTACGATCAATAACCGTGAGCCAGCATCATACGCCCAAGCGTACCAGCTTGCTCTATATATTGAATCGATTCTGCCGGCCGTGCCATCGATTTTTCCATACACAACGACCATATTCGTGCGTACAAAATCGGCACCCGGATTTCCTGACGGCCGCAATCCGTCCCGCAATCGCACCAGCGACATACGTGCTACACCTCGAGAACCACAACTCATCGCCAGATGATCAGCCATTTATGGTTTACATCAATCATCGAGCCAGCATCATACGCCCAAGCGTACCAGCTCGCTCTATAGATTGAATCGATTCTTCCGGCCGTGCCATCGATTTTTCCATACACAACGACCATATTCGTGCGTACAAAATCGGCACCCGGATTATGTTTCCTGACGGCCGCAATCCGTCCCGCAATCGCACCAGCGACATACGTGCTCGATTTTTCCATACACAACGACCATATTCGTGCGTACAAAATCGGCACCCGGATTATGTTTCCTGACGACCGCAATCCGTCCCGCAATCGCACCAGCGACATACGTGCTACACCTCGAGAACCACAACTCATCGCCAGATGATCAGCCATTATGGTTTACATCAATCATCGCCCCATCTTTTTATCCGGTCCACATTGACTTCTGGAAATCCTCGTGGGAAAAAAAAAGATACCCGTCCATCAAGTGTACGCGAAAAACAAGTTGCTGCGAAATTAACGTGTGTTGGGTGTGGGTGTGGATACCCACCACCTTTCCTCGGGCCGACGGATTAGGTTGTATTTCGTCTCTGGGCCCCTCTTCCTCGATCCGACGGACCTACCCGCAATTATGCGTGCCTCGTCGTGTAATTAATGACCTGCACTCAAACTTGTAGCTTGTCTGGTCATTGTAATCGGTGTGAGCACAACCACACCACAGCAGTCTCCGAGACTGCTGTACCCGACCTTAAAATTATATTCGCCCGGCGACATATATATATAGTCTATATGCTGTATTTCTCCGCTTGGCCGTGTGTGCCGGCACACGCGTTGAAGTTTGTACACAAAACAAACAAACCAAACTGGTCCGCTCCAGCGGTCGGTGTAACACCCTCTTCGCACGCAAAAGGGTTTGCGGTCATGTCTGGCCTACTCGTATGATATCTTCTGTCGCGTATTCACCCTTGGCTTGTCATTTGTCATTGAAATTGCGCCGCTCCATGCACACCAGCGCACGCGCCGCATTTCGCATCATCATCAGCGAGGCACCGCCCTGCTGTGAGCAAGCCCCTATGAACAGCAACACCTCATATGCACATCCGCCTGTCAACACATGGCGGTTGTGCCCGTCTGGCCTATGCCCCTCTATCCCTCCGGGATAGCGATACGTATCACGGCTGTGCGCTGACCGCTGTCAGCCAGCGCTCTCTATTCTGCTGTGGGACCACACGCAACGTCATATCGCACGTACCAAGTGTTCGACGCTTCTTCTCCGAAAACGGCGTATCGACCCCGTCGCCCAGATCCTTAGTCTTCGCCCCTCGGCAAAGACGACAACACTAGCTCCCCGGAACAGAACGTCTTAACAGGTAGTAGCTGGCAGTGTTGTCCGCTCGTACGTTTAGCAGTCCCTGTGCTCCAGCACTGATGATGCTTCAACGTGATCGGGCGCAAACAGAATGTCCTGCGGCAGCTGCCTTCTCTCAGTGCGCATGCCTCCTCTTCTATACGCACGCAGACATCCTCTTTGCACACAATAATAAATGCTCACTTCTCATCAACTCCAATAAACACCAATTTCAGACTCCTCCCCCCCTAGGTTGGATCCATCTGAAATACTCGCTTTTCTTTTCTCTCTCTTTTTCTGTGCCGGATGGCCTTGTCTCTGCTTGCGTTGTGAAGTACCAAGATTGAACCAAGGGGGTGTACCTCTCTCTCTTCGGCCTGCGATGGTGAATCCTAGTCTCAGTTGTTACCTCGCATAGCGCGCAGAGGGAGTGGAGGACTCCAGAATATCTGTCGTTGATTTCCATTGATTTGTGGACCCCTCGGGGCCAGTTTATTTGAGTTTACCTTTAGGGTAAGTTAACCTGTGACCACGGGAATCAACCGCGTCGAGTTTTGGATCAGTACGGACATGTACGAAGGTACTGGGTAGAGAGAGATCGGAACGGTTTTTAATGTGAAGACCACAACAACAACAACAACAACAACAACAACTTCATAACATTTGTACTACATGTACGTTTCTTTTCAATGGGAAGTGCCCGCCAATGAATAATGGGATAACGCACACCTGACCCGAACAACCAGCAAAAAGAAATGGACAAATTAACAGAGGTAGTCTATGCTGCTGTAGTGTGTACGTAGCATCTGTAGTGGTATCAGTACATATTCACCAGACATCCGGGGCTGACTATCTATACCTCCTCGTCCGTAGGCAACAAAGCGAACGATAATCAGGCAACAAGACGAAGTGCAACAACTTGCGGCGGGCTCAAAAGCGGGCAAGAGATGGAAGCAAGTTGCCACGGATGGACACGGCTCAACTACGTAGGTACACTATGATTGGCAACCCGAGTCGGGGCGAATGGGTATCTCCATGGATGGGTGGTCCCGTCTGCAGAAGAAAAAACATTAACATCACCGATCAAGAAATCAGTGTTGCTTGCGAAGACAGGCGTTAGGAAAGTTATTCAGAGGTCACGGTGCGGTGATGCACTGACGACTTAGAATAAACCGGTGATTACGAACCCATGGGTAGGATTGGGCTAGAGACGGGGTAAAAAACACCGGTGTGTCGTGCTTCTCAAATCAACCATGGCTAGCTTTCGGCAAGAAGAATAGTTCACAGAAACAGCCAGCGTGCACGATTGTTCATCGAATGTCCGTGTAGTAGACGAAGTCATTGTGTGCAGACCGCGGCCCCATTCCGATATGGATTCTTTTGGCGCTTCCCACCCCTACTCCCGATATGGATTATTTTGTACTGTTGTTGAGAGAGGGATAAAATCGGAGTAACATTCACGACTAGGCGGCAGACATGGTGCCCCTAGGCTCTTGCGTCACCACCTTATATCCATTTGCCCACCCCGCACGCCCTCACACCCACTCTCTTCTTCTACCACTCTCGTTCGCCAGCTCACAAGCCAAACCCCAGCAACCCCAGCAGCCCGCGCAGCCTCTCTTCTGCAGCCCGCGCAGCCTCTCTTCTTTGCTCTTCTCTGGTTTACAGAAGAAGAAACGAAAAAGAAGATGGCTCGCACTGCTTTCGCTGCTGTGGCCTTTGGCATGCTCAGCGCCGCCAACGCGTTGGAGGTGGTCTCGCCCGATGGAGGGATCTCGGTACTCGCTGACAGGTGAGGTGTATGTAGGAGATTAACCACAAGTACTGGACAGCTAATAAATAAGAGAACGCGAGAGCGAGAGGCACGCATTTACAGTAGCTAGGGAAGGAGCAAACGTCGTGTTCGTTCGTCTGGCATCCAGTTGCTGCGGTCTCCGTGACTGCAACGCGTCGGCTTCTATGGGACAGCCGCTCCCGATCTACAGCTGCAGTAGTATTTCCAGATCGTTGAGAAAGATGAATAATCTACAGTCTAAGAAGGCTGCTTTTGTTCGATGCACCGTGACCGATCGATATCGGGATGGGATGCCTGCCAAAAAATAGCAAAAGGGGCCCGCCGGGCTAATTCGTGTTGTTGTTACTGTAGACCGGACGACCCCTGTTGCGTCGCTGTATACAACACAAGATACGTGGACATAGCAATGAATCAACTCCTGCTGGCAGTCCGCTGTTTGTATTTGTTCATAAGAAGCTCGGAGGACAAAACAAAGCCGTTGAGAACAGTCTCAAAATTATTACTTCTTTTCGAATAACCTCGAGTAGACTAGTCTTCTGTATGCAAATTACTCACAAGGGCTTCGGAGGAGGGCCCCGACCTCCGGGAAAGTGGAGGATGCGATTCATGTAGAGAGCGACTGGTTGAACTGCGCATTCACCAAGGGGCGCCCGTCATGACTTAAAGGGGAGAACACGAGCTCCTCTGTTTATTGTGTTGTAGAATCAACGGCGCTAAAGACATCTTGCCTTTTCCTTTCGAATCCCAAGTCAGATCGAACAATCAATTCCGTTCCTTTGCGCACCACGCCAGCATTCACTTCTCACTTGGAGTCAGGATAATTCATTTATTTGCCGGCCAGCCGTATCGTTCTCTGGCACAGCAGGCGGGAAGTCACTTGGACTCACTCCAATCTGTCTGTCTGATGTACCCGTCCGAAAGCATCTAGTCTTGTGGGTCTCAGTCAAGTGCCCCGGCTGGTGCTGCACTCTCTTTTTTTTTACAACAATATATTCACACGCCAGCAAACTGTCAACAGACACTGCATCTTGTCTGTCTCCTGTGAAGGTTACATTTTACAACACAAGACACAACGGAGGGATTCTCCCCGATACTTTGTCGTTGACCCAGTGGAGAACTAGAGGAGATGTATTGTCAAATGTAGATGACCTATTCAGATGTTATTGTACTTGGCACCAGCTGGCATTACTGATAATCTGATACAAATCATCATCATCAGTGTATGGACCTTACAAGACTCGAGACACGTCCAGTACCCAGCCGTTTTTCTTCCACTTACTGAAAAGACTCTACCATACCCCGTTCGACTGTGGGTATATCTCGAATGGGTAGTCTTTCTGTGCGTGCATTTTTTTTTCCTCAACTCTCTTGCACCTCGCACAATTTGTTGTGATCAGTTCACACGCGCAGGAGATGCACAGCAGCAGTATAGTCGCTCGCTGAGATGGTCGGTCGACACCTAACCATGGTCATGAGCATGCGGTAGAAATCTACGTATTATAGAATGGATCTAGCTCTGCATGTGCTGTCAATCTATCTGTCTGTCAGCGGCGAAGAAAGCAGTAAGTAACGGTCTCCGCGGGAGCTCCTTTCGTGCCCGTAAATCGCACTGGACTTACGCAATAAATTCTCGTGCGCGATATCACACCCACCACCAGTCATCATGGCGAATGACTATCCGCGCGCAGTCGTTGCGCCAGGTTCCGTCACTCTTTCTCTCGTGCCTCGAGGTATTGCCCACTGACAATTGGCATTGACCTGCCCATACAATATGGTGCATACTCAGTCCGCAGTAATCTGCGCGTGTCGACGCGTTGGAATAATAATCGCTCGACCGGTTGAACGTTAGGTTATCATCCGCGCGTGTGCAACTACATCCTTGGTCACCCCCGCATGCCAGAGTTGTGTGTAGTAGTTACTATATACCAGGTTTCAAGGGTTTACTAGACTATGTGAAAAAAAAATCAAGGGTTTATTGCGTGGGACAAAATCCCCTCGCGTGATGAGCCACCCTTCGAGAGGCCACTTCGATTCATGCTTTCTATAATTAGTGCCGCTCACGAAAATTAGTCATTAATTTTCCCCCTACTGCAGAAGGGTTTCTATCCACAGTGCCCCTTACCGCCGCAATTATATGGAAAACGTCCCCCCCAACCCCCCCCCCCCCCCCCC